GCGTTAATAATATTAAATTATTGTAGTAATGTATAGATACACAACAACATTATGTGCTGTTTAACATTTTTATTGTTCAAGGCGTCGATGATACAAATCCAATTTCTGTTTGCTCTTTAGTAGCTGGCCATGTTCTGTAAGAGATTAAGGGGGGGGAAAAATCACAAGTTACTAGTTTCCATAATGACAACACTGTCCAAAATACCATGAAGCTTAATTTGCATGTTATTACAGCGTGTTTGCTAATATAAAACACTTACCTTGCTGATCCAGTCAATGTAGGCGCTCACACGAGTAAAAACGGTGGGCTTCTTGTTATAATTGCAGCTCAGGCCTGAACCAAAGCTCACAATACCGTGGACCTCCCAAGCGCCGTCGCTACCAGCACAGTTCAGGGGGCCACCAGAGTCGCCCTGTGTTGAGTGACGGGGCAGTGTTAATCTGTTGCTGTTGTTTCAGTTATGGTTTTTGACTTAAATATCCTTTAAATTTAGTAAATAATTCGTTATGTAGCCTAATATTCACTTTAATTAATTTATGTTTTTATATGACATCTAAGTTTAGTCTACTAAAGGCTGGAATACACTGCACAAACTTTCGCCAAGAATTAGCCTACAGCCTGGACCATTCGATGCTAGTTGCGAAAGGCAGAGTCAGTCTGCAGATTTGAGTTTACAGTGTACACAAACTCCGTTTTTTTTTAAGCTTCAAACTATGATTCCATACAGTCGGATGATATAAAAATTTTTTTAATGAAAAACGATTTAAAATGATATCAAAACTACTTCATTATGATGTTGTTGTGTGAGTTTGTTGCGTTTGGATGATTTCCGTTTTTTCTCTGTAACCATAGTCGGCAAATGATTTCTCGTCATTCACACAGAACGCATTTTTTTTTTCAAACGCGTGTTTACATAGAAAAACCAAGAGAAAAAGTAGCGCAGTGGAATAAAAAAAAAAAAACATGTTCTGTGTGAATGGCCCCTTATTGTAGGCTACACCATTTAAAGTTAATTGTAATAAAAGCTTACAAGTAATGAGTGATTAAAAATTAAAAGTCTATAAGTCATCAATATCTCCTTACATTACATCCAGCAACAACACCATCTCCACCAGCGCAGACCATGTTTTGTGTGACCTGAGAGCCCCACCAGTCAGACTTAGAGCAGGTGGCATAATCCACCACAGGCAGAAGAGCCTGCTGCAGGATATCAGCAAGGGGTCCATTGGCTATTGACAATAAAAAAAGGTATAGGTGAGAAGAAAAGAGGAAAAAAAGAGTTTAGCAGCACAACTTCATCCATAACCATCAACATTAGCGTACTTACTGTAGAGACGTCCCCAACCAGTGACATAGCAGGGAGCATTGTGGGGCAGAACATGGCCATCAGCAGGCAGACATGTAGGAGTGATAGTGTCATTTGGAGTGACAGGACTCTCCAGTTTGATCAGGGCGATATCATTACTGTGGACCAGAAAGAACATGAAAATTAGATTTATTACACAAGTGTTCAAGATATGCATCTCTGTTGCTTGTGAGGAGTCGTTTGGACTCCATACCGGATAGTGAAGGAATTCCAGTCCTCGTGGACAATGATCTTTCCAGCGGCGATGGCCGCAGATCCGTTCTCCTCCTCCTTCAGGTTATGTTTTCCCAGATACACCCTGTAAGTTCTGCTACTGCTGCAGGGCCACGAGAGGAAGACAAAGCAGTTCAGAAACACTCACAAATGCTGTCAAATGGTAAATAATAACATAGTACTTTGATGTAGACCATGGTACTATGGTATACTAAAATGATGCTTTTTTTTATTTCTAACTAGGCCTGCGATTAAGATCCTCAGCCTATTCCTCAGACTAACCTGATGCAGTGAGCAGCAGTCAGAACCCACTGATCGGAAATAAGGCTTCCACCGCAAGTGTGGTACCAGCTGCCGCCACTACTGTACTGGAGGGAGATCTAGGTGAAGAACAGAACAGGGGTCAGTTGTCTTCCTTATGTCCTTTTTGTTTATAAGTCAGCAAATATAAATTAATTTATAAAAAAAAATTTTAGCAAATAAAAGGCCCAAATAATAGACAATGTACAACTGATATTTATATGTATTTTATGTAAGTAGTCTGTTATTACTGTTATAATTATATAATTATATCTAATTATTATAATACTGTTATAAAGATCTCATTGATTTCTCAAGATTTTTTTATGTTCATGTCTCAGGCTTCACAGGGTTAACATAGCTTATTCTACACAAATGGAAAATGTTTTTGAACAAGGACAGAAATGAAGATTAACAGGACAGTATGTTTTCATTCAAAAAAAAAATTTATTTAAATAATGGAATGTGCGTGTACCTGCCAGGGCCAGCTGTGTGGACGGACATCCACACCCCCCACAACCCTCGTTATAATAGGAGGGTAGGTGGGCAGCCCACATCCATAAGCTGAGGTGAAACATAACACATTATAGTTGTTTTAATAGCAATAAATATTACTAGGCATTTTAAAAGTAATTTAATTGTTTAAAAATGCTAAATAAGATTGATGCTACTTCTCCTGCATGTCATTTCCAGACTTTAAAAAATAGTCAGTACTACAGTATATTATCAGTCTTTAAAGGCTTCTTACCTCCAACAAACAGAACAGCCAGGACCACAAACTTCATCATGGTTGTATCTTCAATGTTTGCCCTCTCTGCTGGGGTTTATATACTGGAGAATTCCCTTTCAGTGTAATGTGTGACCACAGTAAGCAATCGTTTGGAATGAATGTCCTTGACTGCTTTAGGAAAAACAAATAAAATGACCCCCAAGTGTTCTTTGGGTACACTTTGACTTTAATAATTCACAGGATATAATCTAATAATTTTATAGTAATTTTTTCCTGTTCTTTAAGATGTAGTACATTTGTTGTGTTCTCACATTTAATTTAATTTAAAAAAACACCTTTTATATAGTTTCTCCATTTTATTTGCACCAAATGTATACTTTGGATAAATGTATTCAAACGAAGACCATATTGAAAAGGCATGATATTCTTTATATATAAAGAAGAAAACTTTTGTTTATAAAGTATATATATATATATATATATATATATGTCAAATTCATAATAGCTAATTTCCCCTCGCAAAACTCAGAACAGATGAAATTAAATTTATGGTTGTTTTTAGCATAGCTTTGTGCAAGGTGTTATTGTGCAAGCATGTCATCTGTGCATTTCACAGGCTGCATTTAACACTCTGGCCAGTAATGTAACTCTGGTTATATATCTATTTGTTTATTTAGTACATTTATTTATTTAGTATTATTATTATTTAGTATTTATTTACTTTATTTAGTATTTATTTATTCAGTACAAAGGTTCTGAGAATACTGTCGGTGGATTGCTACATGAATTGTTGCTGGTTTGTAGTGCTGTCCAGGTTAGTTTTATAAATGGTGGGCCACTGAAATCCGGCATCATGAAACTTGTATTTTTGGTTTTGCTTATTGCTGCTTAGTTGACTGTTAGTAGAGAGGTTAGTAGAGATTCTCTACTCTAAACGAGTAAAAAGCACATGATAATCTATAAAACTGTGGGTCTGTTTCGATCTTCATTTACTGTGCACGTCTGAATCGGATATTTGCACACATTTTCTCCCGTCCTCCATATTGTTTATCAGTCTTTATTGAATAATTGCATAAAGATTCAAGCATATCTAGGCCTATGTATAGCCTAAATGTGTGTATGTCTGTGTGTTTGGGATTTCAGAGATATTTGATCTGTCTAATTGAACAGAACATCAGTATGTGTAAATGAGAAGTGTATTGACCGAATGGGGTGAAGCATGTCCCCAATAAACTACAATAAAGGGATAAGAAATAAATGTAGTGTTAGCCTTAATTCAAAGAACAAAAAACTATTTTCTCTCTCTCTCTAGGTCTCTTTGCAGACAGTAATATCCTGCAGCAGGCCCAGCTCCTTGTAGTGGACAATTTTATCTGCACTAGGTGTGATTGTTGGGGCAACCTGGTGTGTGCCAGTGGAGATTGAGTTTGAAGATGGAATGTTCCTCTGCAATGTGGGTTTAATGCACACTTGTTGCTTATAATCTATAGTCTTTGTCATTGTTCCTAACATGTGTTTATATTTTGATAGTTATGGTAAATTTAGCTACCGTTGCTACCTGCACAATTTAGGGGGCCACCATTGTCATTGTGACATAGAGGGTCAGAGATTTAAATTTATTCATTTGTCAATACAAAGTAAAGCAATTAACCATTATGGAGTAACATAATACAAATATAATTTCAAATGGTTTACAGAAAGACATTCAAACTTTTTCCTTTTGAAAAACATTCAGTGTTGGCCGACTGATTAGTTCTGAATGTTTAATCTTCAATGTACATAAGTGCATTTCAATCAGTGGTTAAGTATTAGACATCAACATAAGCCACTTTCATCACACCCCATTCGTATCACCAATATCTCCTTACAGTACATCCAGCAACAACACCATCTCTGCCAGTGCAGACCTTTTTTTGTGTGACCTGGGAGCCCAACCAGTCAGACCTAGAGCAGGTGGTGTAATCCACCACAGGCAGAAGAGCCTGCTGCAGTGTACCAGAAATGGGACCACTGGCTAGTCAATGATATTGGAAAAAGAAAAAATTCTAAGAAGAGTCTAAAAAAATAGTTGCCCTCTAAAAAACTTTATTCATAACCATCAGCATTACTTACTGTTCTGACGTCCCCAACCAGTGGCATAGCAGGGAGCATTGTGGGGCAGAACATACCCATCCGGAGGAAGGCACGCAGGACTGATAGTGTCACTTAGGGTAACAGGAGTCTGCAGTTTGATCAGGGCAATGTCATTAAAAAATTAGGACATTCACTGCACAAATGTTCAAGACATGGGTCTTCATCCCACAAGACTATTCATCCCATGCACTTTTCATAATTCAAATATATATTTACGTTGTGTATTTAAATGGACTACTGTGTATGTGTAAGTTCAGATGTTCAATAAAGTGGTCAAAGATTGGGAGATTGAAGATGTACACAAAATTGTTGTACACAGAAGATGTACACACAATTGTTTCCAGCAATAAAAAACATGAACGTGGACTGTCATTGTCATGTTGTGCCTTCTCCATTACACATACACACTAATTTGCGGCATGGCACGGCAACCTCAGCATGGTTTCAAGAAAAAAAAAAAGAAATACAAAGAGTACATTTCTAAGAACTTGACACATTCTACACTAGATTTAGTTACATTTAAAATCTCTTTTGAAGAGATTTTTCCTTTTCTTAAACACTCTTATACTGACCTATATGCATTTTTATGATAGTTATGTGACTCTCCTTGTGGTTACCTTTAATAAAAAATATTAATCAGATTATATTGTCAGTCTTGAAGACTTCTTACCTCCAACAACCAGAACAGCCAAGAGCACAGACTTCATGTTTGTATACAAGCCAATTCACTCTCAATTTGTCTTTTGGAACGAATGGTTGCATTAGAGAAAAACTAGTCAGAAAAATTAGCTCTCTGGTGCACCTTGACCTTGATATTTCATAGGGTAGAATCTAATCAAACTATTTTTGCTGTTGATTAACAGGTTGAAGGTTTGTTCTTACATTTAGTTTGACTGTTGAATCATCTTTTTATATCGTTTTTCCCCTTTAATTTTCATGTATACTTGTGGTAAATAAGACATGACATTTTACATTTTTAGTTTTTGTCTCAAATTCATATTAATACTTAAATCCTAAAACCTCACAACACCAAAAAAAACAAACAAACATAAAATATGCACAGTTTGTGAAGCTCAAAAACCATCTGGCTTTGCCAAAAGATTACTCTTCATATCAGCATGTCATCTGTGCATTTCACAGGCTGCACATATAAAAACTCTAAGATAACTGTTATTTTGGGATGTTTATCTACAAGGCTAAATTATACTGCAAATGCTATCGGTGCTTTGCTACAGGAAATGTAACTGGTCTGTGTTGCTGTCCAGGTTAGTTATATAAATGTCGGATGTTTGCCTGTAACCACTGCAATCGGGCATCATGAAATTAGTGATCTTGGCTCTGTTCATTGCTGGCGGTAAGATGAACATATTTTAATCCTGAAACTTCACAACACTAAAAAAATATCAACATCAAATCTGCAGAAGCACAAAAAGCCATCTGGCTTTGGCAAGAGATTACTCTTCATATCAGCATGTCATCTGTGCATTTCACAGGCTGCATATATAAAACCTGTAAGATAACTGATATTTTTGGATGTTTATCTACAAGGCTAAATGATACTGCAAATGCTATCGGTGCTTTGCTACAGGAAATGTAACTGGTCTGTGTTGCTGTCCAGGTCCAGGTTAGTTATATAAATGTCGGATGTTTGCCTGTAACCACTGCAATCAGGCATCATGAAATTAGTGATCTTGGCTCTGTTCATTGCTGGCGGTAAGATGAACATTTGTCTACTTCAAACTCAAAAAAGAGTTCAACAATTCTCTTGTACTTTAGCTCCTAAGCAGTGGAACGAGCAGGGATATCTTTCACATTTCACATAAATATGCATTGCAGCAAATGAACCTGAGCAGACATGTAATTTATCATTGTGTGTGCATGTGTGTTGTCTTAGCAGCCTAAACCTGTCGCCTCAAGGGTGGTGGGTGGAACTGATGTTAAACCAAACAGCTGGCCATGGCAGGTATTGTGTATATTACACTGTAAAAAATGATGATGATTTTTTTTTTAAAGTTTATTGTAGCCTAGTACATTTTACAAGAAAATACTTCGTCATTCTACTAACAAATTGTTTAATTCAATGTGTTACTTGCAATTTTTGTAACTAATTGTGAAATTTACTTGCAATTTCTGAGTGAAAACTCGTTCTACACCATTTTTTCCTGTATACAGTTCATTAAAATTATCCTAAAATGCTCTGCCATAAATAATAATTGCACACACAGAAATATGTAATGATAATTCTGAAATTATTTTGACTGTATTACTAAATGCACTGAAAGGAGCTTCAGTTCAACACTCTTTACCTTCTCAATTTCAGGTGTCTCTCCAGTACCAGAGTGGCTCCAGCTTTTACCACACTTGTGGTGGCACCCTGATCGACAAACAGTGGGTTTTGACTGCTGCTCACTGCATTGGGTACGGTCAAAAGAATCAAAAGAATGCAATGAATGTTTCCATGAGTTGATCTGCATTATGAGATGGACTAAAACTGTGTCTTAAACTTCTGCCAAGCAGCAGCCGCACTTACAGAGTCTACCTGGGCAAGCACAACCTGGCACTCAGCAGCGAGTCCGGCTCTCTCGCCATCTCTCCTTCCAGGATCATAGTGCATGAGAACTGGGATTCCTACAATATCCGGTTGGTCCTCATTGAATTTTAATGTATGGGAACAAAAGTCTAATCTAAGAGTGTGTTTTTGATGCATATGTGTGTTTTTCAGCAATGACATTGCCCTGATCAAGTTGTCGACTCCAGTGACTTTCTCTGACAAGATTTCACCTGCTTGCCTGCCTAATTCCGGCAGCATTCTGCCACACAACTTCTCCTGTTACGTCACTGGCTGGGGACGCCTCTGGAGTAGGTGCCTTTCCACTGCTATTTACTTATTTTCAAGCAAAAAAAAAAAAAAATCTCAAAGTAGTAACTTTTGTCTTTCTCTCTCCTCAGCCAATGGCCCCATTGCTGATATCCTGCAGCAGGCTTTGCTCCCTGTTGTGGACTACGCTACCTGCACTAGGTCTGTCTGGTGGGGCAACCTTGTGACCAACCTCATGGTGTGCGCTGGTGGAGATGGAGTGGTGTCCAGCTGCAATGTGGGTTTGATGCACACTTTTTTTTTTATAAGTGTTTATATTTTGATATTACATTATCAATAACCAGTATTTGTGAAAATGCACACTATTAATGATATCTCACTTGTACAGGGTGATTCTGGTGGCCCTCTGAACTGCCAGTTCACACACAACGCTCTGCACTTACTCCTGATTTCTCTCAACATGGCAACACCAGAGCTGTCAGTCAATACGTGGAAACAAAGTAACTGGAGTTACTTATTTGAAAAAGTAACTCAGATATTTCCTTCTAAATGAAAAAGTAATGCGTTACTTTACTAGTTACTTAAAAAAGTAATCTGATTACGTAACTCGCGTTACTTGTAATGCATTACCCCCAACACTGGTTATAAACCTGTTGGCCTTTTTCTGAACACATGCCATCTTTTCACATTTCCTGTTGACATAAATTTAAGACATACTCAGATATTTAAACTGGCCTCTTCTTTTTCAGGTGATGACCTCTTATTAAAGTGTGGAAGTTGTGGTTATTTCAAAATCAACAACAACAACAACAAAATAAATGTGTAATCAAAAATCAACAGCTATTTTTGTCTGCACTTAGCCTAAAAGTAGTAGAAGAAGAAGAAGAAGAACATTAAAAAGCATTATTTTCCCCTTCTTTTTGTTATGGTTGTGTTTGTATTACCATTGGCATAATCTAGATATTTCTCCAATTATAGGCCTATCTATTTTAGATTATTAGTTGGATTGTATGTAGTGGATTGCAATGTCACATCTAGATGTGACAAACTTGAATATTTGCTAGGGAAAGCCTAGTATGAATGTCTAAAATAGTGTAATAAGATTTAAGTGTGCAGTAGCTAAGTGTCATTATACACTTTTACACGTCACACATATTGTGTTTAAAACTGTTACCTCACACCACCAAAATACACTGGCTTTCGGACGACAGAAAATTACTTACAGAAATTCCTCTCGAAAAAAGTCAATAATAAGCGCAGAAAACAAACAATAAGTGCAGAAAATGTATATTTTAAATTTGAAAAAAATTATTTCATTTATTTTGACAATGCGCCCCGAGCCCACGTTTCCACGGCGGAAGATTGGCGTCTGTTCACCCCAACTAATAGAGAACATTCATTATATATAGATCAGTGGTTCACCCAGACGGAACGGACTGCACGCTGGGTTGAAGGCGGTGTCCACAGCCCTTGATGTTACCATGACACTCGTACACAACTTATTTAGACCGTAACATGCCTTTGAGCAGCCGTGTTGTACACCGTTTGGACAGATGAAAACTCATACTGGTGAGTTGTCAAGATAATCAACGCAATCTATAAAAATGCTGGTGCCTATTATATTTCTTGCAAATAACTTAAAGTTTTAAAAAAGACGCGAATATGGATACCAATTTAACAGAAAGCGTCAGTGTACATACATTCAACGCTATATATATTATTTACCAGATTACAATTTCTATTTCTTTAGCAGGTTGAAATGAGGGGTTGCCTCAAAACTTTAAACTGGGTATTCAAACTGCAGCCTAAAAGCACTACTATAGGAAGACACAAAGACTCTGACCTCTGTCTACAGGTATTAGGCCCAATCCTCATTTCTTTCCAATGTGTCCACTCATTATGTCAGTTCACATGGTTATTGATTCAACTTTTAATTATTCATCATGATGAGATGATACTCTTATATTGAGTAGCCTATGACATACGGACTTGTCACTGAGAGGACATTCACACAAGTGTTTCTCATCTCATCTGCTCAGAATAGTGGGGTGGATGAATGTCATGCCACTATTGACTGGTGTGAAGCAAACGGCTGCTATGTTATCCGTGATTTAAACTCTGCCCACGTGACCTACGTCAATGACTGCCGGATACACAATGCCACTGTGCGTCTCTCTCCGGGAGACCAGCTTCACTTTGGCTATGGAGGATCAACTTATGAGCTCTGCATTGACAGCGATAAATCAGTAAAATTTATGTGTTTGAAAAGATAAATGATATTGTGTCCCTTTGTTTATATTTTTTTTCAGTAGCATTTTTAAAAATTGATTTAAGTTCAAGTTCAAAGACACAAAATATTATGAGACTTACAATGTACAGATTCAAGTTTTTATGAAATTATTCAATATTATCTTCTATAATACATCAAATTATATAATATCAATCTAATCTTTCTATAAAATATACAAAAAGTTTTGTCTCACTCCCAAACAGTTTCCTCTTTTGGCTGCCCATTCTCCCATTCCCCAGGCCTGGGTACGAGCTCGGACCACTTCTGTTTCACCCCATCCTCCCACCAGACCTCGCCCCATGAGTGCCGGGTCTAAACGGGGTCCAAATGCACCTGATCGAAAAACCCAATCTAGCAGACCAGGTAAAGTCTGTTTCAGCACACAATTTTTTGTAAGTCAGAATTGAATTTTACCTCATTATTACCTTTTTATTATCCCAAGTAGAAAGAAAATTGCCAAAATAAACCATGGGGGAAAAATGAGGGTTTAGAAAAGTTTGTTGATTTCGTTAATGGAAATAAAGCTGAAATATTAGGAATTAGTGTATTATATTATATTTCATTCAAAATATTAATAAAAGCTATAATAGTACGATATATAGCTAATACTAAAATAACACTGTGCCAAATTGATGGGAAAGTGAATAATAATTTTTATTTTGGACTGCTTTTTTTTTTTTTTTTGCAGGAAGCCGGAGTTGTAACACAGGGAGAGCATGTTATCTTAGAAGTAAGACTCAACCTAACAATTCTCGAAGCATTCACGTCTTCCCAATGGAGGAGGTGAGTCCATCATCCTGTTAAAAAACACCCGAGTCTCCCTTTGTTGGACCATTCATGCTTGTTATGCCATCTTGCAGAGCTAAAAGGCTTAAACAATACACTGACAATTGTGTTCTTTCTCAGGAGGAGAGGTTGCATCGGCTAGAAGATGGACACGTTCATGTGTCTGTGTGCTTTGAGGATGAGTCCCAAAGGAAGGATGATGCGATCGTGGCCCTGAAGGAGGAAGTGTCAGCTCTCAAGCTCCAGCTGTCTCAGAAGAAGCAGGGTGATCCAGATGTCACATACAGACTTTGCTGCCTGGAGAGAGACATCAAAGAGAAGAAAGATCAGATACAACAGCTAAAGCAGCAGGTGTGGTATTACACAGTCTCCTTTGTTACTTTACATTTTACATTATTTACAGTTTTGTGACTGTGATGGGTAAGGCAGCAGCCTCAGGAGCTAGAGATTGTGGTGGCTTCAAGTCCTACCTGGGTCATCCCTATCTTGAAGGGGTGTATGAAGAAACCTTCTGCAACAAACAGAAAATTTCTTTTACATACTGCAATGCCTCAGGTAGGACTTGGAGTCACAATCTTGAGTGCTACAGGCTGAAGTCTTAGGGGCTGTTCACCCAGAACGTGTTTTTGCTTTGAAGAATGCTAGATGTGGGCAGTGAAATGAGAAAAAAAAAAGTTTTAAAACTTTTAAAAGTTGACCTTTATCTATTTTAACTTGAATGCTGTTTTTTTAGAATGTTCACATAGAAAAACAATCGAAAAGTAGCATAGTGATTAAAGTTTCATTATTTATTTTAAGTTTTAATTCAAGAGAAACACAATTACACTATTTGATGAAGCTATATCATCTCTCCTGAAAATCCATCGGAAATCTTTCACACGCTAATTAATTATTACCGTAACTGCTTTATCTCTATAATGGATGTAGATGCTGGAACTTCAGAGATGTTCTGGAGAGATGCTGGGACAGGCTGTGACAGAAAGAGATCAGAAGATCACCAGTCTTTTAGAACAGATGGATAAACTGAAGAATGAAAATAATTCATCTGCAGGTATGAAGATGATAATACAGGGGTGATATACTATATAGGTTATTCACATTGCTGTAATGTAGAAAAAATTATGATACAGTATATTGATCATTTACTATGAGAATATGATATTATTATATTTACATTTGTATGTATAAAAGTGCAATTTTAAGTATATACAGTATACTATTATTTTGTTGTACTTCCTTTAATATACAGTTCAAAAGTTTGGGGTGTGTAAGATTTTCTTTAAAAAAATGCCTTTATGCAGCAAGGATGCATTATATTGGTCAAAATGGAAAGCAAAGACATTTGCAATATAATAACATATAACATATAACATATAACATATAACACAACACAACACAACACAACACAACATAATATAATATTTACAAAAGATTTTCTTTCAAATAAATGCTGTTCTTTTTAACTTTATATTCATCAAATAATCCTGAAAAAAACATCAATATCAACAACACATCAACAATATTACTGTTTTGATTTATGATCAAATAAATTCAGTCTTGGTGAGCACAAGAGACTTCCTTCAAAAATATTTAAAAAGTCTTACCTCCTCCAAACTTTTGATCATTTGTGTAATATAGAGATGCATTGTTATATTGTTGTTGTGGAATTATCAACAACATATTTGTTACATACAGGCACCATCTTGTTAGATCTGAGCAGTTAGTTACCTTGTGTTTTATTTCAATTTTTGATTCAGCATTGGTTAGCAGTTTGAAGAAAGATGTGTCTGCTCGAGAGAAACAGGCTCTTAAACTAGCAAGTGAGGTGGACAAGCTCAGACAAGAAGTGAGACACAAAGATACCAAGCTCACAAACGTGATGGACAAGGTTCCAGCATCCCTCTCTTTCTACAGCCCATTGAGCTCTGTAGATGTAATGATGCTGTTTTTATTATTTAAAATGTTTTATCAATAAAAGATAACTATTCCTTTTATTTGGTGTTGTTTTAAAAGCTGAAAGACACCCAGAAGCATCAGAATGAGCTACTTGCCAGACAGAGTGAGGTAGAATTGCTCAAGAAAGTAAGTATGTTTGGCTTCACTCACACCTAGTCCTGATTTCCACACAATTTCATAAACAGACAGCTTTTTAGACACCACAACCCAGGTGGGACTTCAACCCACAATCCCCAGCTCCGGAGGCTGATGCTTTATCCATTAGGCTACTGGGCCAGGTAATCCCTGCATGTGAAATCTGGTTTCATGTGTCTGTTCTTCATGTGTGATGTGTGCTGCAGGAACAGGCTTCTCTGCTGACAGAGATAGACAGACTGAAGCAGCTTCATCAGCAGACACAGCAGAGAGAACAGAAAGTTCAAGCAGAACTCAAACACACACAGTCAAGGGTGAGTAAGCTCAAGCCAGCAACAACAGTCTGGTAAGGTGACTACTCTGGTATCTATTACGCTAACATTTATGAAATTTCTTTAAAGTTTGACAGTTTTCGCGACCAGATCGTCAAGACTGTGCATGTTTCAGACAAAGAATCAGACCAAAAGGTAAGAAAATATTTCAAGCCAATCAGAAGCCAGGTTTACATCCAGGGATCATTGAACTGACTTGAGCTGAATAATGACACTGTTATCTTCTGTAGAGCTGCTCTACAGCTTGATATAAATAATTTCTTGATTTAAATTTATTCATTTCAATTGATGAATTTTACAACATTAACTGTTATTTTCCTGTTTGATTAATGTTGCTGCTTTGAAATAATTAGTTTTATTAATGTGGAGCTGCTTTGAACAATCTGTGTTGTATAAAGTGTTACATAAATAAATGTGACTTAACTTGAACTCGAGAATCAGATATAGTCAGGTGGACCACATTTATGACATTTTTGTGGTGCTTTTTTTGTTTGTCATGTTGTAGCTTGCCAGCTTCAGTCCATATTCTGTCATTATATTGAAAAGGGTGGCCAGGATATAAAAAAATTTGCTGGTTTGGACAGATATGCGGGTGAAAAAACGTCATTGTTGGATAAACTTTTTTATGTTTGTTTTTATTTTGCAGGTGTTGGACTGTTTAACTGAGCTAATGGAACAGATGGAGATGTACAAAACAAAAGTGCATGACTTTGAAATGAAACTCAAAGAGGAAGCTCACACACAGAGGAAAATGTTGGATGAGACCCAGAAATTTAGAGTCAGACTCCAAGAATGTCAGGTATTAATAGGTGGAAACATTAATTATGCCATGTAATGTTGTATGTTTGTGTTACAGCATTGCACAGCATTTTTTTTTTTACAGCTACAGTATATTATATCTCTTTGCATTTGTATATAGAGACGAGTGCAAGACGTGTGCATTGCGGACACAGTGCTGATGGAAATATCTGGACTGCAGGACATGAATTTGAGTCCTTCTCTCAGCTGGGTTCAGGAGCATTTTCTGTACTCTTGAACTCGAGAATCAGATATAGTCAGGTGGACCACATTTATGACATTTTTGTGGTGCTTTTTTTGTTTGTCATGTTGTAGCTTGCCAGCTTCAGTCCATATTCTGTCATTATATTGAAAAGGGTGGCCAGGATATAAAAAAATTTGCTGGTTTGGACAGATATGCGGGTGAAAAAACGTCATTGTTGGATAAACTTTTTTATGTTTGTTTTTATTTTGCAGGTGTTGGACTGTTTAACTGAGCTAATGGAACAGATGGAGATGTACAAAACAAAAGTGCATGACTTTGAAATGAAACTCAAAGAGGAAGCTCACACACAGAGGAAAATGTTGGATGAGACCCAGAAATTTAGAGTCAGACTCCAAGAATGTCAGGTATTAATAGGTGGAAACATTAATTATGCCATGTAATGTTGTATGTTTGTGTTACAGCATTGCACAGCATTTTTTTTTTACAGCTACAGTATATTATATCTCTTTGCATTAGAGACGAGTGCAAGACGTGTGCATTGCGGACACAGTGCTGATGGAAATATCTGGACTGCAGGACATGAATTTGAGTCCTTCTCTCAGCTGGGTTCAGGAGCATTCACTTTCTGTACTGAACCTCCTGCACAGAGTACTGCAGAATGCTGCTCAGAGCTTACAGACAGCAGGGGTTGATGTGTCATTAAAGACTGGAGGTAAGAAACAGAAAGTTTAAAGAAATTCAGGAGAACTGGGTTTAAGAATAAAAGCGATATTGCTTTCACTATCTAGTATTACAAATTAAGTTGAAGCATTATTGAATTTTCAATGCATTTTACAGAAAACTAGTCTGATTTGTTTTGTCTAGGAGTATCAGGTGCCTTACAGATTTTGTGCCAGGACCACATGGACGTCCAATCAGAGCTAAGGAAACTAAAGGTATTGCAGCGAAGTATTTCAAAATCAGTTAAAGAATCAGAAAGTGATTCTTAAGAAATATGTCTTTCTTTCCTCTACTGAAGTCAGAGATGCAAAAGCTTCAGGAGACAGAGATGCAGAGCAGAGATCTTCACAGTAGGCTGGAGTTCATGCAAAAGCAGATTGAGATGGAGAAACTTCAGGTGCTGTTGTCTCGCTAAAAAACACCAAAAGTCAAATTAAACTCATTTCATTTAGTCTCTGAGGCATAGACCTCTTGAGGGATGGTCTCAATTAGATTGTCATTTAGCTTTTTCAGTTTTTATAATTATAGGTAAAACTCATCCCAGTTCCAATGGAGATTTTTTATATTAATGAAAGTGTTTCAGAGTATTGACTCTGAAACCGCTGATGGACTGGATTATTTTCATTAATTGAACTCACTATCAAATTCTGTTTCACTGAAGTTTCTTCTAACCTTTGACCTATCGATCATTCAGGCAGCCGAGGGACAGAGAGAGATGAAAAACACACTACTGCGACAGCTGGAAGAGGTCATGGCTGATCTACAGTCAGTGAGACAAACTGAAGTGAGTTAAAGCTAAGAATTGAATTCATCCCCAAAAATGAAATGCAACTGACCTCAACTCTTAAAACATGCTCTATATCTATATTTGATCTGGTGTCTGAGAGCCTAGTTGCTAAGTATTTACCCATATGTGTTAGTTCCCAGCACATAACCATATTGTTTATTTGCTTCTACCCTTTTGACACATTTGACATCGTAATCATAATTATGACATAAAGTCACATTTTATATAATAATAACTATTAATTTTTAAGACATAATTATATCATAATTTTACTTGTATGTAATAATTATGACTTTTATGTAAATTTAGATTTTTATCTCATAATTTTGACTTTTTATGTCATAATTTTAATGTTCCATCTCATAATTGTGTCCTAATATCTCATCATTTTGACTTTTTCCCAGTTTCCATCACATGGCCATATTGGTTATCTCAGATATTATGAGATAAAAAGTCAAAATTATGGCATAAAAAGTCTTAATTATGAGATAAGTAAGAACTATGAGATAAAAGTCATAAATACATAAAAAGTTAAATTGAGATAAAGTCATAACAAAATTTGTCTTTTTATGTTATAATTATGATTATAATAAGTCAGACTTTTCATCTCAGGATTAAGACTTAGTATCTAATAATTTCCACTTTTTATGTCACAATTATGACATTTTATCTCATAATTTCGACTTAGCAAAGCATGATGTTTTTTTCTTATGTGGCGGAAATGGCCTTCCATAGGACACAGAACCACACAATGTTAGTTGTTCAACTCCATGACTGTCACTTTATCGCCTTCCTAGAGTGCCTTGCGCAGGGAGATTGAGACATGCAAGGCTGAGTGGCAAACCAAGATGGAAGAAGCCAAGATACGAGAGGCAGGGCTGAAAGAAACGCTGTGTGAATTACATCTCAAAGAGGAGGAGAGGAGCGAGAAAATGAAGCAGTGTGAGGAAAGAGAGGCGAAGGCCCAGCAGAGAGGAGCTGAAGAGGAGAGACAGAAACACAGGGTTGAGGTAGAGGAGTACAGAGAGCAGGTGCGACAACATGCATACACCATTGTTGCCATGGAGATGCGAATAAACAAAGCTCAGCAGAGTGAGGAAATATGGAAAGAGATGGAGGAGGAGAGAGACTCACTGAAGGAGCAACTCGAAGGTGAGCACAGCCTGTCATAAACGCGTACAAAAATAATTGAACTAAAACTAAATTGAAATAAATAAATTGAAAACAAAGAAACAATATGATTTAAAATGAATAAGAAGTATTTAAGATTCTGTAATATATTTTTAGATGATTATTTAAAAGTGATTGTACTGTATGGTTGAGCTCATACAGAAACTACAGAACTCATACAGAAGAAAAGGTTTTACATTGTTTTGATATACTGTAGTTTCATATGTTACCCATAGAGGGCAGCTTATCAACAGCCTTAGGTTCCTAATTAAAACTAGTCTGTGCAACAGATTTAATGTGTCCTACATATGTGTTCTGTGTTCATTATCAAGATTACCGTTGTTGTACTTGTCCCACAGAGGCGCTTGGCAGGCTGGAGGGCTTTGAAAGCAACAGCACATCTTACACATCAGAAAAACAGCAGGAACCGGATCAAAAAATAACATCCCTCCGGTATAATAAAGCTCTCACAAATACCATCACTGCATTACCCATCATCCAAAATCTATGGTGTATATTATTATGTTTAATATTTAACCCATTTAGCCAGTAGGCCTGCTTCAGAAACCAGTTGCAAAAGCTCTGCGTAAGATTGTAACTTAGCAAATTATATATTGTATAAGTTACTGTGTAAAGCGATTTCCTTACTCTGACGTCACATTCACTGTGAGAAGGATAATATCCATACACTGTGCCCTTGTTAATGAATAATGCATGAGGTTCATTATTTATTCATGCATTATTTATGAAACTCAAAAAGCTGCAAATATGTCTCTTTTTCTACTTTCATTTATTTTTACTACACAATTACTGTCAAAGTGCTAAAATCTCCTAAACAACTTGTTTATTTATTTTAATTACAATGATAACCACAGACAGTGTATACATAATGTATACATGCTTTTTTAAAATTATTTATTTAGTGATTTTTTTTTTCATCAAAAAATTATCAGTAGTGTTTATTCTATTCATGGATGTCTTATTTTAACTAAACAATCTATACTGTACTCATATTGAATCTACTGTATTCAGGATATATTATTGTACGTCAGAAATCTAACATGCAGTTTCTAATTGGTCCTGCAGGGCATCTCTAATCTCATCCCGACAGGAAGTGGTCAGTCAGAGTGAGATCATCAATGCCCTAGGTCGTGACCTGGCCCAGGCTCATGCTCGGCTCTCTGATATGACAGGTGCCGGACAGTCATCACAATTCAAGAGTCTTGCTACATTCTATATGTCGTAGTGTTTGTGTTTCTGAGTGTGTGTCTCTCTGTGTAGGAGAACTAAGCGAACAGCAGAAGTTAGAGTTGGAAAGTCATAAAGCTTTGGTGGTAGACCAGAAGATTCAATTGAGCATGCTCACACAGAAGCTAACCATGATGTCACAACTAATGCAACAGAAAGATGACGAGACAAAGAAACTGGGAGAAAAACTGAGGTATGACCAAAAATGACACAGTACAATGGCTTCACAAAAATTCAGACATAAACTTTGAATTATATAACAAGAAAATCCTTTTGTTAGACAAACTGAAGAGGACCTGAAAAGTAAAGCAGCAGCAAACAGAGAGATGGAGAACACAAGCCTTGTTCCACATCAAACCTCAAGAAACACTAAAGTGAGATTGGCACCAAACTGGACAAACATTTACCTTAACAAAACTGAATTGATGTATCACTTTTGACATGTAGAGGATAAATAAGCTTTCTTTTTTTCCTGAATATAAAAATTATTGAATGACAATAGGATATTGAAACATATTAGGTGAGTCCCATTGAGGCACAAAATGTGCCTGATAGTAGTTTTTTTTTATTTTTTATCTATTCATCAAAGAATCATGAAAATTATATTTAGCAGAAGAAACATTTCTTGAGCACCAAAATCAGCATATTTGAATGATTTCTGAAGGATCATGTGACTGAAGACTGGAGTAATGCCTGAGCTTTGCACATAAATAAATTACATTTTAAAATATATTAAAACAGAAAACAGTTATTCTAAATTGTAATAATATTTCACAGTATTACTGTTTTTACTCAAGTTTTGATTAAAAACATACAGCCTTGGTAAACAGGCTTCTTTCAAAAACATTAAAAAGTTTTACCGACCCGAAACATTTGAACAGTAGTGTACATTCACAAGAAAAAATGGGCAACAAAGAGACCAAGGGGTCACACAAACACACACTCATAGATCACAAACAGACACTTTGCTAACTGTTATATGGATGCTGTTTTTTCAGGATGTGGCACTCATGACAGCTCCAAATGATGTCATCAATCAGGGGTCAAAACACAAAGGTCATTGCCGCGAGGAAGCGATTCTTCAACAGCAGGAAGGTTTGCGTGACATGAGAGAGCGAATCAGAGCTCTAGAACAGAAGTGGCCTAGCAGTGAGTCTTATAATAACTAATGATCAAACCTTTGAATGTGGCGATCCTTATCTGATCTAATTTCAGGCCAACATTAACCTACATTATCACTTTTCTTCTGTACTGTTTACAGAGCGTCTGTCCCAGCAGGGGGAGCCAGAGAAACAGGGTCAGATGAAGACTCAGCGACTTCAGAGATCTGCAGCTCGGAGAGGATCCATCAGTTCTGTGGTATTTGCTTTACACATTCTAAATTACCTATTGAATAATATATTATATATAATAATATTGTAAAATTAGAATAAACATATCAGTCAACACTGGATGACAGTTATACTGTACACTTATTGTTATACAGTTTTAATAATTTTAATTATAATTTTTTTTTGTTTAGTTTCCTAAATGTCATAATTAAATAATTCAAGTCAATTCAAGTCATGAAGAAAATTATCAAATTTGGGCATACTTGAAGAGAATTTAAATTTATGGATGTAATATTTTGCTAAGAAAAAAACAATTACATTTCTTATAAATTCTAAATTATAATCACAATTTCACTAGTATCACTGAGCTCTCAAAATCAGTTTTCAAAGTGAAGAATCTGGTCAATTCAGACCAAAATTGTATGACACAGGGACATTTAAAAACGGTCAACTGACTCAAAATTCTCATTACAAAAATTTGAATTCAAGTTATCATTACCAAACTGGAAGGTGATATCATTATACTGAATAAGAATATATTCAAGATTCTGCACCATTTTAGGTCACTTATCAAATAAGCAAATTTTTGACACTGACCATGTGAACCATTTTAAACTAAAAGTCAGATGTTCCTGATTCCATTAAAGTTCAAGATGCTCTTTGGATCACTCTCAAATGCTAAAGAACATAATCATCAGTTTCACCAAACTTAAATATATAAATAGTCTCAGACGTTTGTATGTGTATGTTACTGTGTAGTGTGTTATACATGTGCTTATTTGATTCCTGCAGAGTGGTTTTGCGTTCCCTGAAGCTCTGACCGAGGCAGCACGAGAGCGTACAGCCAGACTGGACATGTCTGATGCTCTGGAGCTCAGTGAGAGAACAGTGAGTGACGTGCTGCACATACGCATTCAAACTAAATAGTGTGAAACATGCATCTGTGGCACTGAGATTGTGCTCTATTTTGAGTTTGTTTTAGTGAATCATTAATGAATCATTATTTTTCGTCTTTGGTTTAGTACCTGGAGCTAGTGCGCGTTCTGCATGAGGCCCTGGAGCTCAGCGACGTTGAGCTGTCAGGATGTGCTAGTTTAAAGCACCTACCTCCTGATGAGAGACAGCACATAGTCTCTATGAGACAAACAGACCTGGAGTTTGTGAGAACCCGCCTTGATCTACAGAACAGACAAAGCCAACAGCAAGAGCTACTGCTGCAGGAGAACCAGAGAGAGATACACACACTCAGGTGCAAACAAAAGAAAAACACGCGCTCATGACAAATAATTCCCTCTCTGTTTCTCAGTGTTTCAGAATTTTATATTACGATATTATTAAAAGAAACTAGAAACTCCCTCTCTTCCTCAGTATTCAGTGGATTTTCAATATATTTTTAGTGTTATGTTTCCAAAAAAAATTGAAAACAAATAATTCATATTTTATTTGTTATTTTATTTTATTTTATTTATTTTTTTTTTTTTATGATGAAACAACTATCTTTCAGAGAGATCCAGGTGCTGGAGTACCAGATGCAGGCCGAGCTTGAGAGTGTGAAGGCAGAACTGGAGACTCAGAGACAAGAGACGGAACAGCTTCAGCAGGCTCTACAGGACAGCATCAACCAGCTGCAGAGAAACCAGCAGGAACGCAGTATTACCAACAGAAATAATAGGGTATCACACATACAAGCTCACATAGAAAGCGAGAAAGTCTGACTGACACCAACTCTGTGATAGAGAGAGAGAGAAAAAAAAACAGAACATCTTTTCCTGAACAAACTTACATGCGGCTTGCAATTCTGACTTGCAAACACAAACAATTCTGACTTGTCCCTCAGTTTGAAAAAAACAAACAATCCGGCAAATGCATGGATCCATGATGCTTTTACTTACAAATTAACTGATTTCTTTGCCTGTTTTAAGGCATGATTGATAAGTCAGAATTTTTAACATTTCAGACACACACTCTCTCTCCTGTCTCTCTATAGAGAGCCACCTTCAAGTGGTTCATAGTTCACCCAGTGTGATCTATAATAAATACTTTATCTACAGAGCCTTAGTACGGAGAGAACAGACAGAAAGAGTGGAAGAGTGGGCCATCACAACTGTATACCAAATGAAAGCTATGAAAAGGTATGCTCAGTGGCAACAGTGGATTGGTTTTGAATCAGTGTCCCGATGCAAGAGTGTGTGTGTTTGATCTCCAGAACATATGTAAGGTCTAAATCCATGCTGTCTGCCACAGGCTGCCTGGGGTTTTACAGAGACACTCCACACTGTGCAATTAATAGATTTTTACAGCAGCACCACCAAATTTGTTCTTTCCTGAGCTCATAATCTCACTGCTATAAATGGAGCTTGAATCTGTTCCTGTTCGTTTGATGTTAGACCTATTAAAAAAATAGCACAGACAAAATACAAGAATGCATCTTTTTAATACTTTCGTCTGCCACAATAATATTATGTATTTGAATTATCTTCATTTGGGGGCTTTTCTCAGCAAATATTCATTAAAAAAATTATATGTCAAGCATAATTAATTTTTATTGAAATGTGTAATAAGCATTTGACAGCCCTATTTTTTTTCTGTGTGTTCGCAGGCCCCAGCAGTGAAGAAACGGACCTCACAGATGAGACTGAAAAGGAGAGAGAGTGAGCTAGATAATCGAAAGAAAGAAATAGGGCAGAAACAGCAGATCTGTTCAATGGTCTCTGATTTGGCCAATCCTCTGCAAGCTCCCGAGAGCTCCCAACTACTCCTGCTCACTGAGGCCCACTGACATAAACACAACTTAAGAGCATGTAGTATTATGCAACTGTGCTTTTTAATATTAAACAATGTTATAATATTTCCTAATTCTTGTTTCTCTCTCTTTATGTGTGTGTGTGTGTGTGTGTGTGTTTATACAACAGAGTGTTGATATACAGTGGGTCTCAGCACTAGTAATGGGGGGATTTCAGTGAATCTTTCTGGAGGTTATATCATTTTGCCAGAAGGTGGCGACATGTGATTGTTTTTATGAGTGAGTCATTTGAATCATTCAGTCAACCGATTCATTCACAAACAGGGATTCATTCATGAATGAAACAAGTAACTGCTGCCTTTATGAGTGAGACACTGAATCATTTACTCAACCGATTTGTTCAAAAACGCAGATTTAAGGTGCGTTCATGCCATTCACGTCCTCATAGAACTCTAATTACAACTTGTGAACTGGGGGTTTTCTGAGAGTTACAACTTGTACCACCTGACCACCTCAGATTCATGTTTAGGCATTGATAGTGCCATAGCTCCGAGCCCGAGGGTGTGAAGAACAGCTCCAAGTAGAACATCACGTGTGTAATCACATGGCGTGAATGCAGCATAATCCCTGACTGAAACATTGAAGATACATTTTTAATTAATATTTTTATATTTACATCACTCAACACTGGCAACGTTGTGGTGGTTTGGAATTATATCAGTAACATCACCAGTAAATCTATCTAATAGTAAAGACATATAATATCTGAGGTATTAAAAGACATTCCTGTTCCCATTTAAATGAAAGAGTGCAAAAATCTGGTGTTTAACAACAAACATGCCTTTGGATTTAACATTAATCCACTGTGTGGGATCATTTCCCAACTGTTCCCAAGAATTAACTTAGTTCTTTTTGTTCCTCACATCTGTTCCTCATTTACAGAGCCATCTGACAACAGGGTAGAGAATCAGAAAAAAAACGTGATTTATTATGTTAATTAAATACACTCAGTGCTGTGTAGACAGGCATCGTTTTGTCTGTATTACTGTCACAACTCTGTTTGCTTGTTGTGGGTAGAGGAGAATAGAAGAACATAATGGACAGTTTTCAATAAAGGAAGGCTCCTGGAAGTGATCATTAAATTTCATTATACAAGCAGATAGGATCACATGAATCCATCTGAAGTACCCAATTTACATTTTATTTGTTGACCTTTTTTCTTTGAATGTAGAATCAGATTATCAGCAAAATACCAGTGGCCCCACGTAATATTTAAAATGATCCTCGTCTTCCTCATTAGTGCTGATCACTATATCAAGTGGGTGGATGAATTCCAGCTGGCATCTGCTCCATTCAGACTGCTGGCATCAATCCAGCCCATTAGAGGATCAAGAGAGGAAAATCAGTTCAATTATTGAAAGAAGGTCCAATCCTTTGTTCATGGCAATTCAAATAGTACAAGCAATGCTGTGTTCCCCAAACTGTCTCCTTCGATTAGAGACTGCTTCCCTGTGGCAAAATGTTGGTATTGCATTATCAGCTGGTATTATAGAGTTTGATGCCTGTAACTGTACTGAACCCTTGAAATACAGTGGCCCAAAAAGCTCAATATAGTGTCAAATATAGTGAGACTTTACCATATAGTTAAAAAAAAAAAAATATATATATATACAACCATAAAAATTTAATTATCTTGGGACTAAATGGTTAATAGATTTTATTTTTTTTCAATTGCAGAGCAGTTTATGTCTCACTTTAATGTCTAAGTAGTTTTTTGGGGTCACTGTATATATAAATGTGTTTTAATTGTACTACCATTCAAATGTTTTTAAATCGGTAAGATTTTAAAATGTTTTAAAAATAAGTCTGATTCAAAATACATCAAAAAACAGTAATACTGTATTTTTTAAATTTAAAATAACTGTTTTCTATTTTAATATATTTCAAAATGCCGTTTATCCCTGTGATGCAAAGCTGAATCTTCAGCATCATTACTTCAATCTTCAGTGTCACATGATCCTTCAGAAATCGTTCTAATATGCTGCTTTGTAGCTCAAGAAGCATTTTTTTTTATTATCAGTCAAAAACAGTTGTGTAAATTTTTTTTTTCAGTATTCTTTGAGGAATAGAAAGTTCAAAAGAACAGCATTTAGCTAAAATAGAAAGCTTTTGTAACATTATAAATGTCTTGACTTACTTTTTGATCAAATCAGGGTGGGTTAAGCACTGGAAAAATTACATTGTAAGGCATAATCTGTTTCTGTCATTGTTAACCATTGTTGGCTGTGTTTCTTTGGGTGTTCTGTGTATACATTCATATACATCCAAAAGTCTAACATCTGATGTTTTGATCTCATAGCCTATATAAAGACACTGACAGCATCCTACATCACAGACAGCCTCTGCTGAGGAGACTATAAAGGCAACTGAGTGTTGATGGACCATTTCATCAAAAGCTAGTCTATCATTCACAGATATCTGGCTCTCCCCTGAGAGAGATCTGAAAGAGTAGGCATTTTCTCATCCTCTCCCCTCATGAAAATGCTGATGATTTCAAGAAGGAGAATGACAGAAGCACTCTGAGAGGGTCAGTAAATAGCAGTGGGTAGTGAGTTTGATGGGCCTAGGAGTAGGGATGGATTTCTTAATGACCAAAATAAATGGCCACTCAATCCATCCACAAACACAGTTTGTCTTCACCTGAATTCTCCCCTGACAGGCTGTCCTCCCTAAACAAATGTTCACTGCTGATGTAGTGTGCCATGCTCGAGATTTATTGTGTGGCTGAAGGAGTTAGTCTGTTCTGTCTAGACATATCATTCCTGCAGGTGGCACCACATACAGTCACACATAGATGTCACTGACACTATTATAATGTGAAGAACTCTGAAAAGTTAATGTAATTTATTCTACTTCGTATGAATTCAGCTGAATACATTTGATTTTGGATTCTAGACATGTTATATATTTCATTCATTCACTCCGCCAGTGTCAATTCTGCGTTGTGTCACGAGCCTCAAGCACAACTTGCTAAACATACAGCACAGTTTTTGGTTCATTTTGAGTTGGACATGATGTAAAAGTAGACTAATAACCTTGAGTCAAATTAATTCAGAGACAGCTCCGATTCACTAGAAAGACCCAGCTCATAAGAATCATTCACCCAGGAATCGGGCTATGCTGCATTTTTCGATTCACTACAGAGAATTGGCTTACCGGTTATGCTCACTGAACTATTCGAATGTTTTCTAGTGTAGATCAGTGGTTCTGCTGCATTCTTGTGATTCATTAAAAAGAATATACGGGAATTGGAATACACTGGTATGTTTCGTGGTATTCAGCGGTACAGTGTCACAATTTACATTACACGATCATCCAACATTTATTCCCACTTTGGTAGGCTACAGGGATCAGGAATTTTTAGATGAGATTTCATATGATTTGTAACATTTCATAATTATATAATTTCATTATGATAATATGTGTTTATTCATCAGAGTGCTGATATGGAATCAGTCTGTGCAATAATGGTGGGGATTTTTCGGTGAATCTTTCTGCATGTCATTTCGCCAGAATGTGAAGTTTATGAGTGAGTCATTTGAACCATTCATTCAACTGATTTGTAAACAAATGGTTAAACTCTGATTCATTAATTGACAAAACAAGTAACTGTGCTAATGAGAGAGACACTGAATCATTTACTCAACCGAATCATTCAAAACGTGGATAAATCCATGAATGAAACAAGTCTGTTGCTATGTCCTAAATCACATAGGATACAGTAGGTACTACATTTGGTTTGAAACTTACTTTGTGACCATTAAAAAAGTACATAGTATGAGTTAAACAGTAGCCTACAAAACAATACAAAACTGAGATTTGGGACAGCGTCGATTAATTTGTTTTCATTTTTTTGTCATGTCCGAGAACCTGTTACAAAAATCACAAGAACCGATTCTGAATCCTATTATTAATAGCATATGATCCCATGTCCACTGTAAAGGTTGCATTCCCTATGTTTTTCTGTGGAGGTGTCTTATCACGGCCCAAGTTGGGTGGTACTACTGTGGCATGGTGGAATCACGGTGTGTATGTGTAAAATGTGTCTGAAAATGCCGTCTGAAAGACTGGCTCCTCATTGTAGATAACTTTGTTCTTGGGGCCCTTAAGGATGACATCATAATGGATGATCATACAGCAGCAGGAAGTGTTATCTGTGACATGTTCAGTCACAATAACCTCAAATGCCCACAAACACACATGTTCAGGCACACACACACTCCATCCTTCTCTTTCCCAAAAGACTGCTTTTTATCTATACAAGACACACACACACACACACACACACACACACACACACACACACCCATATCCAGAAGCAGTCCCTGAAACCTCAGGGGGGATAAGTTGTGTTTGCAGTTAAAAAGGACTGTCTCCAACTCAGGGGTAGACAGAGGTTTGTGGATATGGTAGAAGCTTTTGTTTAGGTAATCTGTGAAAACAAGTGGAATATATTTTATAACAGTCACTTGAGTATTTGAATCTGGATCCTTTGGCTGAACCCACTGAAAGTAAGTCTGGTATAATTTTATACTGTTGCATTGAGATTTAAGGAAATCTTAAGTAAGCTGTCTTAGTGGTAGAGTACTTGTATAATATTAAGCATTTGTTTATCAAATTTTAATATTTCATAGGAGACTATCAGATATGTATTTTATTTATTGATTTATTAAATAAGACAGCACCATTTTATGAACTTTATCCAATGATTAACTAATCAATGAATAAATAATTCAAACTGTTCCTTTAAGGTATGTATTTAGGTGCACATGCATGTTTAGTATTTTAAGTATTCCATTTATATACGAGAACAAATGCATCATATTAAAAAAGCTTTTTCTTTGCCCTTCAGTTCTGTCTGTCTGATTCGGACTGCGTTGATTGAACAATGTGCCGGGTTCTGAACATCTTATTGGCTCTTCTGAGTCGCTTCCTGTTTGCGGTGCATGGCGTCCTGACAGTGTGGCGTGTAGTGGAGGTGACTGGCGAGCCCTCCTATTGGCTGCTGCTGATGGGTGTGACGCTGCTGGGGGTGGAGATGGCCATCACTATCAAATACACACGCGCCTTTTATGCTCACCAAGGCTGCAATAATTTGATTAAAAATAAAATAAAAACAGTACTATTGTGAAATATTATTACAATTAAAACAAAATAGCTGTTTTCTATTTTAATATGTTTTAAAATGTAATTTATTACTGTGATGGCAAAGCTGCATTTTCAGAAATCATTCTAATATGCTTATTTGATGCTCAAGAAACATAATCATTATCAATGTTGAAAACTGCTTACTTTTGTGGAAATCATGATACATTATATTTCAGGATTCTTTAATGAATAGTAAGTTTAAATGAACAGCATTTTTTAAGTAGACATCTTTTGTAAAATTATACATTTCTTTACTGTCACTTTTAACAAATTCACTGAATCTTTGCTGAGTAAAAGTATGAATTTCTTTCAAATAACAAACAAAATGTTTACTGACCCCACACTTTTGAACAGTAGAGTAACATGTAGTTTAAACATGAAGATTAACAGCAAGGCAATCAAATTTATAATGACATAATGGCATTACACATTTTTGAGGTCTCTGACCCAACCAGCCACATTATCTGCCTTGTAGATAAAATATATATATATATAATTTATCCAACAATGAATAGTTTATCATAGAAATATTATGTTTTGTGAAAGAAAAAAATTAAGTTAATTTGGAACGACATGTGGGTGAGTAAACAATGACAGAGTTTTCCTTTTTTGGTGAACTATCCTATTAAGGACTCTTTTCACTAGGACATGATGTGTTTGGCAAAAATAGTTTTACCAACTGTCTTGACAGTCTCAGAAAAAAGAGAATCTGTTATGCCTTTTTTAAAATAACTTTACTGAGTTATTCCAAACGTTCTAGTACAAAAAGACACAGGGCTCAGAAGCAGGGTGCCTTAATAATGATTAACACTAACGAGAATGTGGGAAGTTACACTCGTTTCTTCAAGCTCGGCACTTCAGTCTGTCTTGCGAGGACTGGTGATAATAATAACCCCTTCTCTCAACTCAGAAAAAACAACCTTTGCATTCACACAGAGCAGCACATCATTACATTCAGTCAGACTTGATTCTGTTTTTGGTTCATTTATGTATGTACATTGAGATTGCTGTGCTAGGAAATTTATTAATGAGACTCTACCCTCCCACTGACATGGACCTGCTGAGAACCTCCTCCTTACCTCTGTCTTTCTCATCAACCTCTTCACTTTACCATGATCTCCATCTGAACCTTTCTATCTCTCCTTCTCTGCCGTACTACTTTTCTATGCATACTATCTCTCTCCTGCACACTACACTTTGAAGTCTCTGTGCTCTTTAGAGAGGCTTGCCTGTGTCAGTGGGGATTTGCATAGCTAATGGGAGTAATTTGCAGTCTGCTTTGGGCTGGTGTGCCTGCAGCACCGGACTCTGTGGTGTGACCCAGCTTTACCACCCAATCAGAAGAATCTGACACACATACAACTGTTTGGTGACTTTACTAAGTCAAAAGTAAAGAATAGGCGTGCTCATCCATCCATCCATGTGATGATCCACTCTTCTGCAGGTTCTCACCTATGGTGTTTCTATATCTGAGCACTGTGATTCCCTCGGTCTGGTTCCTGGAACTGAACCTCCTACAGTCCAATCTGCTCATCAACTCGAGCACAAACTCTGACCCGCAATTCTTCTCCCAGATCCCTCTAACAATGGTGGGTGGAAAACAATCGTTAACAATAAAACTCTGACTTGACCAGAAAAAATAAGTTCAGCTTTGAATCTTTGCTGTGTTTGGTGTTTTAGTACTCATATTTCTGGGAAAACAATAAACATAAAATGCTCAGATGGAACTTGATTAATTCGTAGAAAGCAGTTTTCTGTAAAGTGTCTGCAATTCTGAAAAAAAATCTAATGCAGAAGATTAATAGATTAGGAGTGGTAAAGAGTTCAGTTTCACCTTTGACCTGTGGGCCTTGTACAAAAGCACAAACACTTATAATCACAGTTTTTTTTTTTTTCATTTGTAAATTTCATGTGTCTGCTGAAAACAGCTCGTTTTGCTACTGGATATTGCAAATTGGTGTGTCTTACGATATTATTTTAATGTATTATTTTAACTAGTATGAACACACTGGTTTGTAGTGCAAACAGTTTAATCGTTTACTGCACTTTGTTATTCTTCTTGTTATTTCCCTACAGCGGCTAATGAACTGGAAGTCTCACACATTCACATAAAACGGCTTACTTTTGCGTTGAAAAATAAGGTGGATAACACCTTATTGTCTACAGCAGTTATCAGGACCTGTAGGTCAGGAAAAGGTCAGGAAAGATTCAAGTCTGTATTACAAAATTTGACTCTAAAAATATTAAAGCATGTCCAATAACTTTCTAAAAAAAATCGGACCAGATTATAATCTTTTTAAGAAATTGTTTTTTAAAGAGATTTCTTAGATTTAACATTTTCATTAAGAATGAAGTTCTCAAATATTTTCTTAAGTTCATCTTAATTTTTGTCTTAAGAATAAAATGACAGGCTTTAATATTTGATTGTATAATAGCCAAGTAATGAAGTTGTCTAATACAACAAATTCTACTTAAAACACTGGTAAATCTTAACAATAAATTTATTGAAAAATGTATCCATCATTAACATCTATGCTGCAATGCTTAATATTAAAAAGAACCCAATAAATGGATTAAAAAAAAATTCCACAAATTTTAGTTCTTAAAGTAAATTTTTTTCTATTGAACAATCTTAAGAAAAACGCTAGAAACATTTGTAAAAAGTATTTTTGGAGATACAAAGTATTTGTAACTTCTTAAGTTTATATCCAAGATCCAGTGTTTTTATATACCGGTAGTTACATAAAATGCTGCTGATCCTGTCTGAGGTTTTTAAAGGTTTAGACTTTACCTCCATATCCTTCTTACAGCTTTGTATCTGACTAATCAGAATATTTTTTAATATTGATGACTGTGATAATTGTTTTTTGTTGTGACTTTGTGTAGGTGGAAAGCTGGGTGTTTTGTAAGAATATGCTGTAAAAGCTAATCAGTGACTTTTCTGAAAAGCTTTTTTGAAACCATATCATCTCAGTTGTCCTCTTTCATTAAGTTAATCCTCCAGTGGATCTTTTGTTGAGGCACTCCAATAAGTCAAAGCAATCATTTTTTTCTTTTAAACTGTTTGAACCTTTTTAATCTGGTATTACAATAACATCTTAACAACAATTTTGATTCATCCATTCAAATTATCACAGTCTTGCTGTGTGCTCTCACTGTCTGGGCTGTTACCATGGTGATTAGCCTATTTGTGGTGTGTGTGTGTGTGTGTGTGTGTGTGAGAGACAGGGGTTGGCACAACTTGATCCTGAGAACTGGGTGGAGGCTCTGGAGCAGACCATGTTGATCATTTTGGTTCTGGGCCGCTGGCTGATGCCGAAGGGTGACATGTCACGTGACCAGCTATCTCAGCTCCTCATGGTTTATGTGGGCCTTGGAGCTGATATCCTGGACATCTTTGACACGTTTAAGGAGCCACAAGTGAAAACCAAGCAGGCTGTGATCATTGTTGGGCTAAGTTTGTTCTCCTGGGCCTTGATGCAGTTTCCTCTTGTTCTTACCCAAACCAGCCATTCCAAATTCCAAAAGGAAGGTCAGTCAGAGGCTGCAAAGCCTGGGCGAGCTGGCTGGACCGTTTCCTGCTGCTCTAGTGAAGCCTGGAGCCTTCTGCTAACGGTGGGTCTGCAGGATGGACCATTCCTGATTTACCGTCTGTACCTCATGATACGTGAGAATGTTCTGAACCAGCTGATGATCTTCTTCACATGCAAGAACATCCTCATTGTTTTGCTGGAGGTCTACAGGATCTGTGTTGTCCACTTTGAGCAGAGCAATACAGGGGGCAGAACTGAGTCATGTGACCCGTCTCATGAACACTCGGAATGGACTGATGGAGAGGCTATTGAATCCAGCTGTCAAGAATAGATTAGATTCACACTTACTGCAAAGACTATCTGTCTATCTATCTATCTATCTATCAGTCTATCTATCAATCTGTCTATCTGTCTGTGTCTATCTATATTTAAATCCGTCTGTATAGACAGAATTAAAAATGGTGCCTTGTATGCTTAAAAGTTTTGGAAGGTTAAACTTACTCAAAATCCTATCATAAACATCTCAATTAGATTCAAAGCTTTAGATTCTGAGATTGTATTATTCAAAAAATCTCACAGCCAGCACGGACAGCACAAAGAGCACAATTGGTAGCAGTTGCTGTACCACTTGAGGCCAGCAGATGGTAGTGTGAACAAACTCAATGTAAGGGCAGAGCTATGATGAAATTCAGAAATCACTATGGAGATCATGACGCCTCTTCAACTGTACCCTGACGCACACCCTCTGCACACAGCAACCTGTGACATTTTAGCATCTAACATCAGATCAATGGGTAACAAATCAGTTCCTGAGTGCTTTCTGATATTTGTGAAGGATCTGTCCACGGCTGTCTCATTACTCAAAGTTCAAGCCTTCCTTCTTGCTCAGAACTCTCGTATCTTTTTGACGGTGACATGTTTGATTGAAGTACTGTCATAAAGACCAAAATAGCATGCAAAAAAATCTGTGAGACTGGAATACACAGCTGCTGTCAATCATGGGTTTAAAAGCAGAAAGCAGTGGTTTCTTAGAATGGCAGCTAATTAGGATATCAGTAAGAATAAAAACACACATATCATGTACTTTTGTGATTATTGTTTGTTTTGACAAGCTGTCAGATTGCTGGCCAAGCTAAAAGAGAGAAAGAAACCTGATAGACCTGAATAGAGAAAGACAGAGAGGGAAACACCTCAAAGTGAGCCCTGTCATTAGTACTGTTCTGTCACAAAATCTTTCATTCCTGTGATGAAAACAGGGCAACAGACTTTGTTTTTGTTGGGGGGGGGGTTTCTCTCTGTGTCTGTCTCTCACTCTCTTCTCTGTACTCGGCTCCCCGTTAAAATAAATCAGCAACAATTAAAGTCCCCTGAGAGCAACCTAACACAATGAAACTGTCCTGCATCTTTTCCTGCGACCCCTTGGCTCCCCAGAGTGCACATTCTCATTTTCAAAGTCCTCTCCCCAAAATTGAGTGCTCTGTGGATACTGTAATGTGCTGGATACAGCAAGGATGGAGAACGAGAGAGAGTGAGGGAAGGAGAACGAAAAAGGTAAAGAAAGGAGAGTGAAGAGCAGATTGTTAGAGGAGAGAGATGAACTGCATGCTTTAATGAGATTGGAACTCGTGGGAGGAGACATGCAGTCAGCTGATCAAGCGGTTAAACAACGACCTGCCCTAGATAGACAGAAGAGAGGAGAAGAGAAAAGGAAAGGAAAGGAAGGGAAAGTGTGCAGCTCTGAACGGTTTGGAAAGGTTCAGTTCCAAAACTTAAGAAAGTTCCTTTTTGTTTAAAAGTTTGGAAAGGTTCAGAACGGAAAGTGTGCAGGGATTTCCAGTTTGGAAAGGTTCGTAAAGGTTCAAGAAAATGTAAGAAACTTAAAATGAATCGTTTACACATTCCTCAACTTTCCTCATAACCTCTTTCTTTTTCAGGACAGAAAAGAAGATATTTTGATGGATGTTTTAACATGTTTGTGCACATTATATAGGATTCAAAACAACATTCAAAATCCACTGTATGGACAAAAATAACCTTTTTCAAAATGTCGTCTTTTGTGTTTTACAGAAGAAAGTCATAAAGGTTTGGAAACACATCAGAGTGAGTAGACTAAATGATGACAGCATTTTCATTTTTGGGTGAACTAATAGAGAAAACACACAAACCCACACATAAATTATTATTAATTATTAATTATTATTATTATTAAAAATTAATTATTAATTATTATTATTAATAATAGTGTTCCTGTGGCTCAGTGGTAGAGCATTGCGTTAGCAGTGCAAAAGGTCGTGGGTTTAATTCCTAGGCAACACACATACTGGTAAAAAATGTATAGCCTGAATGCACTGTAAGTCGCTTTGTATAAAAGTGTCTGCTAAATGCATAAATTAATTATTATTAAATACTTATTTCTTCATATTTTTTAATTCAAAACACATACTCTCATATACACACGATATACACATATAAGTAGCTTTAAATGAACAGGTGCATACCTGTAGAACAACACTTGACAATAATCACATGACTAAATTTTCCTCTGATTCACAACACACACACAAGCAGCACATATGTGAACAAGTGGCTTGAAATTGCAACAGCAGGCTCACATTGTGCTATCAATGTGAAACAGGCCTTAAACATCCACTCACTGCCTCAAAACTCCATCTGTACTAAGAGATTTGATCAGCTCTTGTTACTGTCAGTCCTTTTTACCAAGATATGGAGTAATAGCACTTAACTTGAACTATTTGATGGCATATTTATAAAGGATTGAAGCTATGTTAGCGACAGGGAGCACAAAGCACCAGAGTGGTGCAATGTGACAGCTATACATTACAATCTATAAGTAATCTGACAGTAAATGCCACGGTTTTGTAGTACTTTTATAAAATACATTTATTTCTTTCATATAAAATCAAATTCAGCTTTCTGCCTATTTCCCACCTAGAGCTGATCTAAATCGTCTGCAGTCATCACACGTGTATTTTGCATAATTTAAGGCTCATACATCATGAGCTGTCCATCACTCTCCCTGGGGCTTTTTATCAGATGATTCAACATATGACGACATTAACTCTCTTTTCCCGCCCTCTCTGCTGCTCACCCACTGCACTGCACTCACCCGCTGTCACTGCCATGGAAAACAATTAGCAGATTTTGATTATTTAAATTAAAATACCATTTTTTAAAAAGATAACTTTTACTCTGGCTATGCGCACACAGTCTGTGTGTGGGACTGACAACCGTATTTAATAGCCTATAAACAGACCGTTCATACAGAGCGCGGTTTTCCACTGCGCTACTTTTTCTATGTAAACACGCGCTTGGCAGGCGCGTTGGCCTCGCGTCTTGCGATTTCTGCAGCGGCTCCTGCATGCCCCGCTGTCACTGCCATGGAAAACAATTAGCAGATTTTGATTATTTAAATTAAAATACCATTTTTTAAAAAGATAACTTTTACTCTGGCTATGCGCACACAGTCTGTGTGTGGGACTGACAACCGTATTTAATAGCCTATAAACAGACCGTTCATACAGAGCGCGGTTTTCCACTGCGCTACTTTTTCTATGTAAACACGCGCTTGGCAGGCGCGTTGGCCTCGCGTCTTGCGGCTCCTGCATGCCGTCATGGCGTTCAAAAAGCGCGGCTGTCAAGTTAAAACAAGTTCAACATAAAACGATGGGTTACTTAAAGAGCAGGTTATATGGTATTTTAGAGCGTCCTAATATTGTGTTGGAGTCCTCTACAACAGGTTTAAATGCATCTAAGGCCAGAAAACATTGTACTTTTCTCAGAATATACATTTAAAGGGGTTATATGATGTTGCTAAAAAGAACATTATTTTGTGTATTTGGTGTAATGAAATGTGTTTATGCGGTTTAAAGTTAAAAAACACATTATTTTCCACATACTGTACATTATTG